TACATTAGAAAAAAATGTAATAAATCTAATTAAATTTATTTTTACTATAATAAATTCATTAATCAAGTTTATGCAATTAATAACATTTGTAAATTTTATTAATTTAATACATTAACTGTTTATAAACTGAGTTTAAGAAAGTCTCAAACCAGTTCAGTAACTGAGTTCAAACCGATATAAAAAATTTAGTTTCTCAGTTTGCATGAAAAACTGAGCTGAGACTGCCCTAGTTGTATTAGGGATTGGAATCGATTTGACTAAATCGATTTAATCGAAAATTGAATCGTATCTAATAGAATCGATTAATCTAATCTAAAAATCGAATCCCAATAAATCGAATTTTTTATATTTTGGCGCAGCAAATATAATCTATAATCACGCCACAATGAAAAAAAATCTCGGAATTAACAAAAAAAAAAATCGAAAAAATTCAACAATTGTGATGGCTTTTTGACCAATAATAATTGAATATTGGACAATTAGATGATTGAAAATTTAATCCAATCAAGTTAATTGTGGCTAATGTTTAATTAATTAAAAAAAAAATTTTTTTATTAATTGATAATTTCGAGTTTAGGGGCCTGGATCATCTTTTGGCCAGAATTAAATATAATTCTATAATGCCTGTCTCTTATACACATCTAGATGTGTATAAGAGACAGGACCAATAATAATTGAATATTGGACAATTAGATGATTGAAAATTTAATCCAATCAAGTTAATTGTGGCTAATGTTTAATTAATTAAAAAAAAAATTTTTTTATTAATTGATAATTTCGAGTTTAGGGGCCTGGATCATCTTTTGGCCAGAATTAAATATAATTCTATAATGCAGGCCAAAAATGTCTACTACATATTTATACATAAATTTTTTATTATAATGATAACAAAATTTGACTTTTTATATAATAATTACTTTAGCTAATAAAATTTCAGGATTTTTATTCAGTACAAAAATAAAAACATTTTCAAATTTTACAATAAAGATTATTTTAGTATTTTAGTTAAAATCTACCTAAAATTTTGTGCCGCCGGGACCATCGAAAGCGTTGCATCACGAAAATGTTTAACAAATGAATTTTTTGTAAAATTACTGAAAAACGATTAATCGATTCTTAAATCGATTCTTGGGTTTCGATTTTCGATTGAATCAATTCCAATCCCAAGTTGTATATCAGATATGTCTTGTCTTAATAAAATCAATTTCTTAAAAAAATAGAGAATATTTTTGCAGGTTTTAAATGTTTTAAATAATATTAGAAATAAAAGCAAGCCAATAACATAAATTAAATACAATCAGCTATTGAAATGAGTATAAAAATTTTATGCATTGGAAATGGTTTATATTACTTACATTATTATTTTGAAATAATTGGAAAGTTAAAAAATAAGATTTATTTATTTATTTTTTTATAGTAAAGCATTTTTCTTTATTGAATAAACAGACATCAATATAAAAATGTATTAGACTTAACTAACTATAAATAGTTTAGTTAAACTATTACTATTCACTTTCCGAAGAAAGGTAAAAACTATCTAATACTATAGTAATAAACTAAACTAATTTGACTATTGACAATGGCTTTTGCATTGTAGTCACCAATGATTTTGTTTAAATAAAAAAATTTAGTATTATAATGTAATACTAAATAAATAAAGATGGTTACAGTAGTTTTTGTTTATAATTAGGAATTTAATATGGTAATAATTAGTCAACAAAAAATAATAAAATAATAGCAATTCATATTAACGATTTGACGTGAGTGTAGAATGAAATTCGGATTAATTAGGAATTGTGAAAAAATAATTATCAATAAAAATTGATTAATTTTTTAGAAGTATTTTCGAAAAAACTTTAATATTATGAAAATACCACAAATATTTTTATTAATTAATTATAAATTTTTTATTATTTTATATTACGTCAATCTTAAACTTATAACCAACTTAGAAAAATATTTGAACAATTAAATGTATTAGAATCTGTTATTTTATTTATTATTATTATTATTATATATATATATATATATATATTCTTTTGATACTCATTATACTCAATAAATTATTAATTTAACTAAACCATTTGAATTGAATTTGGTTATAATAATCTATTATTAAATCAACAATTTCTTCAATTAATTAACTATAAAATATTGTAAAAATATCATTTTTTTTATGAATTTGAAAATCAAACTATTTATCCAGCGTTCAATTTAATTGAAAAAATCTTCTAACAACGTCGGTCAATTTTCCTAAATTTTCCTATATCTGATATGTTATATTGATTTTTTTTTAAAAAAATAATACTTTTGTAAATATATAAATATATTTAATATAATATTTTATCTGTCTCTTATACACATCTAGATGTGTATAAGAGACAGACCATAAATAGATCAATAATTCAAATTTATTAATATTTTTATGTATCTATAATTAAAAACAGTCTCACTAAAAAAAAATTCGTTAATATCAAAAAAAAAAATTTCATGCGAATTTATTAATCAGAAACAATATCTATTGACTAAAAAAAATCTCTAAACATTGAAAAAGCCGTAGGATATAGTTCCAATCTGATTATAGTCTTGACCCAAACCAAAAAAAAATAAACAATATTTTTTGGGTTATAAAAAGTTCCAAAATTTTGATAAATTCCGATTAAAAAAAAATCCCCTAAAAAAAATCCAATAAAAATAAAACAAAAAAATAAATTTTGGTTAAGTTAACCAAAAGAAACAATAATAATAAAAAGAGGGATAAAAAAATTAATAAAAAAAAGACCAAAAAGGTAGTTTTGGTCTTTACGGTAAAAACTGAGAAAATAAAAAAATTAAGAAGAGCAGAATGACTGCAAATAAAATGCAATTAATAAGAAAAATTATACCTTTTTTTGTTAATATTAATCCATCAGAATAAAAAAAAATCCAGGTTTAAAGATTGGTTGCCGTGGTCAGGAAGGTCCTTAATTATGATATGATGATAAATACGAAATAGATCGGACGCACACTTTTCAATGTTATACAATTCAAATTATTTATACAGGCAGGGTAATCTAAATATGACAAAATTTATTTAATTAGATAGATGAAAAGACGCCGAAATGGCAACTTTTCTCATAAAATAATATGAAAAGACGCTGAAATGGCATCTTTTCTCATAAAATAATATGAAAAAACATTTTTTTTTAAATTTAATCTTTATTAGTATTGCAACATATCAGTAAGGCATCTATCTAAATACAACAACATCAAAAACCAAAACAACTACAAACTATATAAGTGAATCCAATGAATCTAATCCCAGAATAGTTGCATTTTATACACTTTATGCGTGCTAAACAACAGAAGAAGCCCAAAGCTAAACTCGACCCCTGCTGTCAGTACTGTCTAATAATCCAATATCACACCACCAGGAACTTAACTTTGTTTCTTGAAAATTTTTTTACGTGAAATCATGTGACTTGAGAAAAATAAGATCCTGTTAACATCACCTTTCTAACTTTAAATTCCAAAATGTATGAATTGCTTATAATTGCTTGTAATCATTTTGAAACCAAAAATTTTCCATAACAATATATACACTAAAGTATAAACTTAAATGCTTTAAGTTGCAAAGTTCATGTCAAATCTAAAATTGAAAGCTAAATTAGCACAACTTGTATGACTTTATAGCCACCATCTTATTTGTAAAATGACTGACAGAAAAGTTCCAACTACTGTATTTTGAAAACAAAAATAAATAGAATGCTATTTCTTATTATAAATTTCACAGCTCCCCATGAATGAATGAATGATTGTTTACATATATTGTGTTACCAAAACATTAATAGCACATGCATGGATCGTAACTGTCGATCACTTCATGATTTTACTGACATGATATGATACCCATTCGCCCCTTGAGGGACTCAGGAATTTTTAGTATCAAAAATCCTATTTGTCACGTCCTATTTGCAGTGACATAGTAAAGTTGAATATTATTTTATCCTTTATTGAGAATCTAGAATAAAAATATTAAAAAATACAAGTTCATTGTGACCGCTAATGTTGTTATTTTCATGTTTATTATAATATTTTACATTTTATTATTATTTCACGGAAAACTTTTGTCAATTATTACAAAACTATATTTATATATTAAAACATTTCTATTCTTTTTTACGATTGTCACAAAAACATTTTGTATGATCTAACTCATTTCTTTTGTGCATTATCAATATCTTTTTTCTTACACGTTTTGAAAATGAACATGATAATAAGGTAATTATATTAATATGTATATAATTGGCCTTTAAAATCAAATTGTTTAACTCATTTTTCTATTTGAATTAAGATTGGCTATACAAAAAATATACTGTCCCAATTTTCAGCAGAATCTTTTATCAAATTTTTGAAAATCCTATTACGACATTATGCCAAAATTTTTTAAATTGACAATTGTACTGGCTTCCAAAATAAGAAGTAGAAGTGATACCCAGTTTCTAAATTTGGAACAATAATTTGGGAATATCGAAAGAATATAATGAAATCTATAAATATCAATGTGATGTTCATTTTTTTTTTTTGAATAAAGGAATAAGGATTTTTAAAAACATATTTATTTAAAAGCTTTTTTTACATTATATTTTCATATACAGTAACTGAAAATAGCCAATGAAATCTGCAACTTTCTTTTTAATTTAAAAGATTATGTAATTAATATATTTATATCTTTCAAAAATTTTAATAACTTTATTACAATGGGTAAAAAAAATATTTTATTTTTCAATTAAATAAATAAAAATATCTTTGTCTAATAATTTTTTCCAATAAACTTAAATATTTAACATATATATATTTTAACATTTCAAAGAGAATTACATTGAAAATGATAAAATAAAATACTGGTGCTGACTATGAAATAAAGTAACATAATATTATACACAAATACATTTATTAAAAGCCTACATTTTAATGTTGTAATAGGTCAAATTCTTCTTCCTGATACCTGGGTGAAGTTGCTATGATATTTCTGGTTGAACATGAGTAGTATTTGACATTGATGGATTTGGATGTGTATCATCTTGAGGTTTTGAATGACTTTCATTTTTTAATGATCTTACTTCCATTTTTAAATATTCAATGTAACTATCTTTACCTTTTTCAATGAATTCAATAAAACTAAAAAAAAAGTACTAATTATAAAGTCAACTAAGTGAGCGTTATGCAGTAGCTTCACTTCAATAGGTTGGTCTAATTTAACATTTCTCACTTTTCTAAGCTTTTAATCTTTTCATCCTTTTTGTCTAATTCCTTTCTATTTCCATAATAAAAAAAAAGTTTATTTTTCAAAAATAAAAATCCATTATCAAATTATAAAAAAAATGCCAATTATTTTTTCGAGAATGAGTTTTTGAGTCGCTATAATATCATTTTTTATTTCAAGATGAAATTTTTTTAACCATGATTTTTAGGTGTAAAATGAAAAATATCTAGTTTAAGGAATAACTTGTCAATAAAACTTTTTTATCCCTGATTATATTAAAAGAAAATTAAATATTTTACATTAAAATAAAATTTTTATTAATAAGTTGTAAAGAAAAGTTGAGTATTACTAAAAGAAAATCAGGATGGTAGTCAACTTTACAGTATAGACTAACATAAATTGTCTTATAGCACTTTTATAAGTTTGCGTAAAAGATGTAATTTAACTTATTAAAATTCTGAAATGATATTGGTTAGTGATTTTGACGGACTGATATACAGATTAATTATACTTTTTATGTCAAATATTTTTTATAACACAAGCCACTGATTTTTTATAATAATATGTAAGTGATGACTCATAATTATATAAGATAATATGATTGTTATTGTAAAAGATACTTTTATATCAAATAAAATATTTTTTTTGCTTACAAACTTATACTGTAATAATTTTTTGTTATTGATGCGCAGTATAAAGTATTTTTTTTATTAAATCAATTAAAACATCAACAATAGACTATTTTTTACTATTTTTCTATTTTTGCAAGTCCGCAAGAGTTGATTACAAATATTAATATCATTTATACTTTTTATATGAAAAATTTGTGCAACAAAAAAAAAATATTTATACAGTCCTTTTTTCTTTTTTTTTTATTACACATCCTCTTATTCCAAACATCCTCCTATTTCACACATACACATCCACTTATTCTTTCCCTCCTTTAGAGAGAAAGGTAACTAACTTTTTTCGCGCAAATAAATATTTTTATTTTTTTTTTTGCACGAAAAAATAATATCTTCTTATTCTTTTCCTCTTTTAGAGAAAGGTAACCTTTTTTCGCGCAAATAAATATTTTTTATTTTTTTTATGCGAAAAAAATAATATTCTTCCTTTCTATTATTCTTGAGAAAGGTAACAAACTTTTTTTTGTGCGAATAAATATTCTTATTTTTTTATTGCATCTCCAAATCATTGTCATCAAGACCCAGGTTCTATAACAAAATCAACAGGAATTTATTTATCACATTTGGTACATTTGGTGAGTTATTGTGTTTAAATTTAAAAAGTTTAGGCTTTAATTGCAATGAAGGCTTTTTTACGATTTAGTTCATGGGTCTGCTCACGTATGTATATGTCTAAGGTTTTCCAAATTTGCTTATAAGCTTATTTGTCGGGATTCTTTGTGAGTCTAGATGAAATCTGGTATATGTGCCTGAGTAAGCGTG